CCCCCGGCCGGGGCGGAGGGGGGGCTGCCGGTGGTGATGGGGCTGCACCGGGATGGGGCAGCACCGGGCTCCGGTCTGCACCGGGGGTCATTCTACGCCGGGAGCCGGCCCGGGGAGTTGTTGGGAACAGCAAGGGGGGCGGGGAGGTCCCGCTCTGCACCGGGTATAACCTGAAGGGACGGTGCCCGGCACGGACCGGGAGTCCCCACTTCCCCCCGGGAGTCCTCCTGCACCGGGGACGGGCCCAGGGGACACTCCAGTCTCTGCCGGGGGGACCCCGCTCTGCCCGGGGGGCACAGCTGCCTGCTGCCCGTGCCACCCCGGTACCACCGGTGGGGATCTAGGGGACACCCCCCCAGCAGCCTGGGGACAGGGCAGCCCCCGGGACCCCCTCCGCCATCACTCTTGGGGACAGGGGGACACACGGCATCCCCTCTACCATCACACCTGGGGATGCAATCCTGCCGTGCCCGCTCTGTCTCCACCCCATGGCAGGGTGGCACCAGGGCTGAGGGGCTGCAGGCAGCCGGTGGGACCCCCAGGTGTGATGGTGGAGAGGATCCTGTGGGTCACCCTGTCCCCAGGTGTGATGGTGGAGAGGATCCTGTGGGTCACCCTGTCCCCAGGTGTGATGGTGGAGAGGATCCTGTGGGTCACCCTGTCCCCAGGTGTGTGTGCAAGCGCCCATGCATGTGTGCACATGCGTGTGCAGCCACGTACACACATATGCATGCATTTATGCGTGTGCAGACACACATAAGTGCAGGCATGTGCACACACAGCTGTGTACAGCTTGTGCATGCACACATGTGTGTGCACACAGAGCTGCATGCACGCACCTGTCTGTGCAGCTGTATCTGCACATGTGCCCATGCAAGCATGTGCATGAGCTGACCCCAAATCCCTGTAATTTTACATAACCCCACCACTTGCTGAGGGCAGGTGAGGAGGGAACAGATGAGTAGCTGTGGGGGAAGACCCCCTGCCCCTACCCCGGGGTCCCTGTCCCTGCAGTCCAGCCAGGGTGATGAGTGACAGAGCAGAGGCAGAGCCAGGCTTTGATTTCAAGCCCATATCTGGGCACAGGGCCGTGTCCTTGTGACAAAGGGTTGGTTTTGACTGCCCAACACAGCTTCTTGCAAAAATCCACGGTGCCTGGAGGGGACACAGAGGCCACTCCAGGCCTGTCCTGGCCATGGGGACCAGGAGCCGCAGCACAGGGAGAGGAAACCAGGACCGCAGGTGGTGATGTCCCTCAGGGCCAGGGCAGCAGCGCTGCCAACAGCTGTGAGACCCAGCATCGGATGGTGGAGAAGCTGGGGGTGACAGCAGGGTGGCTGGGGGCAACATCTGGGCACCCTGGGGCAACATCTGGAAATCCCAGGTGATATCTGAGTATTCTGGAGCAATATCTGGGCATCCTGGGTTATATCTGAGCATCCTGAAACAACATTGTGGTACCCCAAGGCAACATCTGGGCATCCCGGGTGATATCTCAGTGTCCTGAAGCAACATCTGGGCACCCTGGGCAACGTCTAGGCACTGAAGTTCAAGACCTGAGTGACCCATGCAACATCTGGACAAGCTGGGGCCATGTCTGGCAGCCCCTTGGCTGTGTTGGGACAAGGCGGGGGTGGGTACAGACATCCCTGAATCTTTTGGGGATGTGGGGATGCAGGAACTTTTCACAGGGACAGCCCAGCCCAGGGCAATGCCCCCCTCCTGTTTGGGTCAAGGCTTTGACCATCCCAGGAGCTTCAAAATATATTGAATTTATTTACACAAAATGTGTCTTGTTTTGCCAAAAACCCTTAGGGAAAGCAGCTGCAGCCACCCAAAAAATTCACTTGCAACCCCATAACCGGGCTCTGCTCTGAGCCGTGGACTTCCTCCCCTGGGAATTGCATTGCCAGGAATTCAGCAATGGATGCGTTGGCCTGGCGAAACAACTGCGATAAACACCTCTCGCTGCAAAATCCACAGCAAAAATAAATCCCAATGGCGATTCCCCTTCTCCTGCGGTGTTGCTATTTTCTACTGCCCGTGAGCGATTTGGAAGGAGCCCCATGGAAAGCAGCAACTCGCATTCCCGGCCGCTTATAGCACAGCACGTGTCCCCGTGAATCACCGCTCGGGATTCGGGGTTGGTTTTTGCAGTGAGTCAGAGCCAGCAAGGCCCCGATGCTCCAGCCCCGAGCAGAAATCCTGAGTCAGAGCTTGGAAATGGCAGGAGGTTTAAAAAGCTTTGCTGCTTTTTTTTTTTTTTTTTTGCTGGAGCTTGAATTTATAGAGGAAATGTTTTCCCCGGGGGATGTGGGATAGGAATTAAGGGTTTTGGGGGGTGGGGTGGGGGGGTGTCCCTACACTTGGATTTGGGATTTGGAGGTGGGATTAAGGGAAATGCCCCAAAATGTAGGAAAAGCGGAGCATGGGGTGGTGATGAAGCACAGCACGGGACTGCTGAAAGCTGCATTGCATCCCCCTCACAGCACCCCGTCCTGGGCAAGGGCTGGATCCAGGAACCCCCCAGGGAACCCCATAACATCCCAGGTCCCCAGGGCACCTTGTATCTCCAGGCCACCCGTGTCCCCACATTACCTTTGTCCCCACAGCACCCTGCTTTCAAGAAAAGCCCTCAGAGCAGAGGGTGAAGGAGCTTCACCTCAGTGGCTCGGGAACCCCAAATTCTGCCCCTTCCTTACCACCATAATTAATAAAGTTGGATAATAATTACAGTAATCAATTGCTCTGCTAGACCCAGCTGTCCCCTGCCTTGTGCAATGAGGCCATGCTCCTGTCCAGTGCCCCGGTGACATTGTCCCGGTGCAGTGTTCCAGTGTCCCGGTGCAGTGTTCCAGTGTCTCAGTGCAATGGCCCAGTGCATTGGCCCAGTGCAATATCCCGGTTCTCCAGTGCATTGTCCCAGTGCATTGTCCCAGTGCAGTGTCCCAGTGCTCCAGTGCATTGGCCCAGCACAATATCCCCGTTCCCCAGTGCATTGGCCCAGTGCAGTGGCCCAGTCCCCTGGTGCATTCCCCTGGGTCCCTTGGTATATGGCACTGTCCCCACCCCCGGTGCCTTGTCCTGATGTCCCACTGCCTGGTGTCCCCATGCGTGGCCCCAGTATCCTGGATGATTATCCCAGTGCCCCAGAGCATTGCCCCTGCCCCATTGTCCTAGGGCACAGCCCAGCTGCCCCACTGCATCACCCCACAGCATCTCTCCCATGGCTCAGGGCACTACCTAGCTGCGTCGTCCTGGTGCACAGCCCAGGTGGCCCAGTGCAACGTCGCTGTGCGTTGTGCCCCGGTGCAATGTCACAGTGCGCTGTCCTGGTGCACAAGTTCACTGTCCTGGTGCACTGGAGCACTGTTCTGTTGCACTGTCCTGTTCAGTTGCCCCAGAGCACTGTCCCCATGCACTGTCCTGGTGCACTGGAGCGCTGTCCCGGTGCACTGTCCTGTTGCATTGCCCCAGAGCACTGTCCCCGTGCACTGTCCTGGTGCACTGGAGCACTGTTTCTGTACACTGGCTTAATGCATTGCCCTGTTGCACTGTCCTGGTGCACAGGCTCACTGAACTGCCCCAATGAGGCATGTTGCCTCATTGCATTGTTCCTGTGCACTGTCCTGGTGCACTGGAGCACTGTTTCTGTGCGCTGCCTCAGTGCACCATCCCATTGCACTGTCCTGTTGCACTGTCCCAGTGCACCGTGCCATTGCACTCTCCCGGAGCACAGGCTCACTGTCCTGGTGCATTGCCCAGTGCACTGTCCTGTTGCACTGCCCTGCTGCACTATCCCATTGCACAAGCTCATGGTCCCATCATACTGTCCCATCGCACTGCCCAGTGCACCATCCTAGGACACCGACCCATTGCACTGCCCCATCACGCTGTCCCGGCATACCATCCCGGTGCACAGGGTCACCGTCCTGGTGCACTGTCCCACTGCACAGTCCCACTGCACCATCCCGGTACCCCACCCCAATACACTGTCCTGGTACCCCGTCCCGGTGCACCATCCCGGTACCCCATCCCAATACACTGTCCTGGTACCCCGTCCCGGTGCACCATCCCCGTACTCCATCCTAGTACCCCATCCCCATA